CATTATGGTCCATTTTTGCTTACCCATTTGCTAATTGATGTTTTGAAGCGCAGCGCGCCATCGCGGATTGTTATTGTTGCTTCCGAGCTGTATCGCTTTGCTTCGGTGAATTTGGACAAACTCAACCCGATTGGTACGTTCCCAGCTGCCTATCTGTACTATGTGTCTAAGTTCGCCAACATTTATTTCGCACGCGAATTGGCTAAACGCTTGGAGGGTAGTGGAGTGACGGTGAACTTCTTGCACCCCGGCATGATTGATTCGGGCATCTGGCGCAACGTGCCGTTCCCCCTCAACCTGCCCATGATGGCTATAACGAAGGGATTTTTCAAGACACCCAAAGCAGGCGCACAGACTACTATTCATTTAGCCACCTCGGAGGAAGTGGCTAATGTGTCGGGCAAGTATTTCATGGACTGCAAGGAGTCGACATTAAGTGCAGCGGCTATGGACGAGGATAAGGGCCGCAAATTGTGGGAAGAATCATTGAAAATTGTCAAGTTGACACCGCAAGATCCAAAAATCTAAAAACATTTAACAAAAAAGACTAACTTCGCTGAAATGCCTACTTTACAGTCTTTAGTGAGAAAAATAAAAGTTTTTATATGAAAATTTTACTCGTAATTTAAGTTTTATAGTGTGCAATATGCAATTTTGATGGAATAAGGAAATAAAAGTGAAATTATCATTGTTTTGATACCAACTGTCGTTTGCTTGCACGTACAAAGAAAAAGTGCTTTAAAGCTCTTAGCGCTTTTCCAATATTGTTAACATGCCACTGTTAGGAAGTGTTAACTGGAGCTTTTACTGTTAACTTACATATGTATGGATGTATAAGCCAGGGTTGATTTTGCAGGTACCTTTTTTGAGCTCTTTTCAACTGAACATTAGGTAAAAATTTGTAGGTTATGTTAGATAAAGCTTAAACAAATTTTGTTTGTTGCACTTTGTTTTGCATCACTTTTTTTTAATAAATGCTACATTTACTCGTATTAAGTTAAGACTTGTAAAGAGTCGTAAGTGTATTTCATCTAATGTGCCTCAAAGTAAAAAATAAATTGCTTTAAAGTTGATCAGATAATATATTTTATTTATAAAATTTACCCAGTACATCTGAAATCCTCAAAAATTGAACTGGTACCCTGTATCAGCTGTGAAATCATGGATACGCCACTGGAGGTGATTATTGCATGAAGAAATAACTCTGTATCTTAAAAATAAAAATTATAATTAACAACGTTGCTGAGATTTGACTCGACCTTATTGCGAATTTAATTAAAACAAATGTATAAAAAACCTTGTTCTTATGAATGTTTTAGGTAAAATTTATGTGCCTTATTAGGTACGTTAATGTATTTTCCTAAATCAACACTGAAATAAGCTGAGCTAAATGTAATTTTTTGAAATGCTGTTTTATATATATTTTTTGATTTTAGATATGCAACGAGGGCTGCTAAATTTACTCAATTTACTCGTGCCATTGTTGCCCTATTTTATGGCACTTTCTTGGCACTTTTGAAAGATTGTAATATTTCAATACATTTTTGTGAAATCATTGGCGTTTTTCGATTTATCAACTAAAATTTTTTAATTTCTATGGTGTTTGCAACTGGTTTATCTTATTTTGGCACTCGACTTTTGTTTTAGGAATGTGTTTCTCTAATTTCAATGCTAAATAGGAAGAATTAAAAAGAATGGCACCTTTTTGGCTTTTTTATTTTTCTATTTGGCACATTTTGGCACTTTTTTATCCTCAATATGGCACATCATAGCTAAGGATAGTTGGCAGCCCTGTATGCAACCACGACATTATTAATGACAGTAGTTGCTAAGTCCCCTTTCAGACACGTCAGGTCTTGAAAGCAATTTTTATCACATTCTCTTTTTGTTTTCTATTTGCTTCCAGACGCGAAAACTTTTATTGAATTCAAGTTCTTGATTCTTTAAATGGAAAGCAACGAAAAGATCCAAAGAGATAAGAAAACTTGAAACGAATTGACGGTATGGAGGTATTTGTACTCTTCCCCTCTTTTCTCACCTCCTTCGCCTTGGAACGAGCAGACTTAGAAGCAAGACTTGACGTGTCTGAAAGCTGACTAACATTCTCTTCCTATTTTTGAATTATTTATCTGAAACGCAAATAGTTATATTATATACAGGGTTGGCACTTCGGTAAATTATTACCAAAATTGGTAGAAAATTTTTGGGTTTGTATAAAGACATAATAATAATAATAATAGATTGGCGCTTACACATATGTTAGTGTTTGGCCGAGCTTCTCCTCCGATTTGTGGCGTGCGCCTTGATGTTGTCACACAAAGCGGAGGGACCTACAGTTTTACGCCGACTCCGAACGGCGATTGTATTTTAATGAGAAGCTGTTTTTCATGGCAGAAATACACTCGGAGGTTTGCCATTGCCTGCGGAGGGACGACCGCTGTTAAGAAAAAACCTTTTTTCTATATTTTTGCGATGTTGCTTTGACCAGGGTTTGAACCCAGGCATTGTGGAGTGGAAGCGCGCACTGCTTACCACTACACCACAGCGGCCGACTGTATAAAGACATATTTCTTCTAATTTTGGAAGATTTTTGTTAAAGTATTTTATTTGAAAATCCTTGATTTTTATGGGTTTGGTTAAATATTCTTATACAGAAAAAAATGTATACTTGAAAAACACTGTGAATTTTATAAAATAACAAGCGCTTTTGTGAGTCACTTGTCTATAATAACTCCAGTTGAAGTTTTTTCAAATGATGAAGCTTCGCGTTTGCCTTCAGTTTCATCACTTTCGTTTTTGGTTGAAGAAAACCGAGAATTTGCCATTAATATGATCTCAAATACCATATTATTAGTTGAATAAAAAGTTCCTTAAATAATTTTAACTCTTATTGAAATAACTTAAAGAATAGAGCAAAACTATAGTTTTTATAAAATTAACTAAGAAAAGTTATCGGTAAATATTTTCCAGATTTGGTAGATTTTTTTCAAGTGGATGGTAAGTACTTTTTTGTCAGTGGCAACCCTGATTATCTGTTAAAATTGTGTTTCTGTGTTATATGAAAAAAATGCATAAAATATAAAACTTAGAATCACAGTAAAAATTTGTTTGTTGTTGCGAAAACCTGCTGAATTTTTATAATTGTTGTACAAAGTTTGAAATGCCGATTTTTGCTTATATATTGTCTTTATTAAATTATGAATTAGACTTTTATATAAAATCCATCGAATAAAAATCGATGAACAGAATAGGCGAAACTTTGTTTGAAATAAGGTTTCAGGCTGGTTGTAGCTCCGCTTACCATGTAGCGGTAGTTTTCGGAAAGATGGAAAAACTATATTTAATACTTGCGCCGGGTATTAATGTTCGGCTCCGCCTGAACTTAGACCTTTTTACTTGTTTATTTGATACTTTGCCGTCGAGAATGAAGCATATGGAAAAATCCATTGACTTTAAGTCCGGCGAGTATGGTGGCCATGTTGCGGAGAAATGTCGCTGGGATTTTTTTGATCTAAAAAACGGTTTCTGGAAACGTACAATAATTTCTACCGGATTTTTTTTCGTGATTAAGGTAATAAATCATCGTTTAGATTCTTTTCGCGGTAGATTTGTTGATTTACCTTTACGCCCTGCTCAATGCAAAATTTCACCCGAGTAGTACACTTTTTTTTTAAATTTGATAAGATTTTATGTTGAACTGATGTTTTTAAATAAAAAAGAAGCAAAGTTGACAAAATTAATTGATAACACTCGACTGCCTATCCCTGTACATATGTATGTAACTTTCTCTCTTCCCATGGTCGATTATTTTGAGAAATTCGCTCATTCATTTAAAAGAGTTTTATCGAAATATATTAAAGCATGTACATGTTGTTGCAATTATGTATATGTATTTATATACATACATACATAGTATAAGGAATCAACACATACATTTGCTTTATAAATGCAATGATTTTCTCAATGTAATACGATATAACGGGTGATTTTTTTGAGGTTAGGATTTTCATGCATTAGTATTTGACAGATCACGTGGGATTTCAGACATGGTGTCAAAGAGAAAGATGCTCAGTATGCTTTGACATTTCATCATGAATAGACTTACTAACGAGCAACGCTTGCAAATCATTGAATTTTATTACCAAAATCAGTGTTCGGTTCG